CGTAAAAGACATATTATATGATATTTTAGCAGTGCCTTCCCTTTTATTTTCTAAGGTTAACGCACGTACGAAAATTGGCGCGCAAACCGCATTATGGCAAGGATCCTGCTCACTATTGGCACGCTGTCGCTACGCTTCGCGTTAATGTCACACAATCGCGTTAATTCTTGGCAGTTGTAGCGGACAGACAAGAGTGTCATATGTGATAAATGATGATATCAAATGTGGATAACAATGAAATGACCTACACGTGTAAATAACGGAAAAAGAACAGAGAAGGACCGCGAAGTGAAAATCTGAAAATAAATATGAAATTCAGTTGATAACATAATCGAATAAGTCGAGGCAGCTTATTGGCACGAAATTCGGGCTCGTCAATGTCAAACAATTGTTCTCATAGACTTCGGAAAGCTAAATGCTTGTAATGAAAATCACTTAGCGTGCACGGGCGAAAGCCTGGGGCCGTTCGGGCTATCAAGCTGTCTCGAATCTGTGAAATCATAACTGTGACTTATATCGACGTCCTATCTGTCTCTTTTCTCCGTTATCACCANATCAATATTTATTTATTAAAATTAATATCGAGTCAAAATTTTGTTTATGCATTTTATTATTTAAATTTTATAACAGAATTTCGTAATAGTTACCAATCAAATTAATATGTTGCATGAAACCTAATTTGTCCTGAATCCAATTGTTAATGAAGTGTAAGTAACACACTGAATTCTATAACCAGAATAAAAATGAATAGGAAACATTTATACATTTTACACGCTCATTGCGCCTCCTGCAGTTTAAATGAATGTTACACCATTTCAAATTTATTACCTTTCCTGAAACTTATACCAGGAAGTAACACTTTGAATATAAATTTAAACAATTATTATAAAAGATAAATGGAATGTATCAGAAAATACTCAAAGTATTGTGATTTTTAAATTAACAGATTACTGCCAGTACATAGATTCTGAAATATATATGCTAATGATATGCAAACTAGTAATATAAGTTATAGTTTATTTCAAGGAGTAAGCACCATTCCCTGGAATAAAGTAACTTTAACTAACTAACTAACTGTGCTTCAGCATCTAGTAGAGAGTTAGCAAGCCATCGGATTTGTTACTTTAAAACGCGTTACCAAACTATGGCCCGCTGCCACATTGTGCCACAAATGAGCTAAAATATAATTATTTATATGGAAATATCATAGATTGTAGATAAACTTACTATGTAGAAAAATTAAAATAAGTATAAGTAAAAATGACAAAATTGGTCCAATCTGAGTTTTGAATTTGACAGTAATATAAATTTTAGGAAAATTGGTGAAATAAAAAATTTGGTGACTGGATGTCGGAGCACTTTTTGTATAAGTACTATACCTACAATGAAACTTCTAAGAAAATTGATTACGAGTTTGCTGCAGCCATCGTGTTTGTGTATTGGTAAATAAATATGTTGGTTGTCTTTAATTTTTGTGTATTCATTGAACGGTATTGAACAAGATGGTTGTGTGGCCCGTGCTAGTCATTCTCTCAGTTCAGGCTCATTGTGAAAAAAGTTTGGTGACCCCTGCTTTAAAATAAATGTAATAATGCATATTGTGTGACTTCAATAACAGAAAGTAATCTTATATGAGCAGAAAAAAAAGTGAAAAAATTTAAACTGATATTTCTCAGAAACACATCAAAAAGTGTGGGCCATAAACTAAAGATATAAGAATTCAAAATAACTAATTTTGTTCACTTCTAGTGAAAATAAGAAATATACTGATTTTATAATTTTCTATTCCTTCTTTTGGAATCAACTAATTATAAATCATACTATAACTTATATAATTTGTAATTGGTCCATCAATTCGAGATGATCAATTATCCATTTTCTATTTATTAACAATTTTAAAAAGCTAATCACAAAAGAATGGTGTAAAAAGTTAGGCAAGTAAGGTAATTCAGTAAGTAACGTTCTCCAAAAAATGACAGAAGTTATACACCTTTGTATTCCTTGAGTCTGCTTTGAATAGTATCCATATACTAAATACTGGATACATCACTGGTTTATTCTCATCTTTCCACTGGTCAAGTTTAGTTTGAATGCTCTTCACCAATATCAGCTTTAATAGTGTTGCATAATAGCAAAATGCAGAAAACAGGAAAATAAAATTGTTGGCAAAACCTGGGGAGCTAAATTAGAATGATGTGGCTGTGTGTGGTCTAGGGCCATGATTTGCTCGTGACTGGTTTAGAATTTTGAAGATAATATCAAATGAATATCATAAATTATCAATTGCTGTCATTTACTATTGAAAACAAAATAACAACTAATAAATTCTGTAGAATTTTTTAAATTATTCAACAGGAAATTAATGAAAAATGCATATTTAACTTATTTTTAATTGTTTTTCATATTTTCATCATACAAGAAAATGAATATATTTTTGAATTGACTAATCTGAAACACAAAAGAAAAAATTCAAAATATAAAATAACAATAAAATCTATTTTTTAGGAATAATATTGCTATTTTAATTGAAAACTATGTTTAGAATTTATCTATTATCAGTTTAATCAAATACCAAACTATTTTGCAATGGAAATATTGAAATTACTTTCACTGCAAAAATAGAAACTAATACTTTAACAATTATTAGGAATTTGAATTTCTTACTGTGTACATAAGTATTTAGTTACTAGAAACTATAATCATGTTACATTTTAAATTGATCAATTGTTAATGATAAAATTTAATTTACATACTATAAAACAGTCTCTCTTCAATTTTCAAATAAATTTAGTTATTATATTTTTCTAAACCATACTTAAATGGAATTATATTGTTTCATAAAAACTTTCATAATTTTATTTTGAAAATTTCTTTTGGTCCAATATTTGACAGAATGAGTTTGCATGTATTTTATCAATTCTAAAATTAAGTGCATTGTTATGAAGATAATGAAATTACAAATAATTCTAGAATTTAAATCTTTATGATGCAAAATCTCTTGAAATTACAAATAGAAGTATGTTCTTGATATTTTTATTGCAAAAGTGAAAAAAATTTATTAGTCATAGCCTGAATAAAAATCTAGCAATATTATATGATTACTATATTCTGGGCCTTGCATTATATATGATTATATGCAAAAAAATTGTTTTCAATATAAGTTTAATATTAAACAAATTTTAGTTTACACAGCATACTAGTAACTCAATTATGAATTTTTACCTAATAAAGAACTAACAATCTTAAGTACAACATTAAAGTTGAACTATAGTATAGAAACAATTGCAAAACAAGTATAATAAATGATGAAAAAAAAAATATGATTAAATTCACTAAGGTATAAAAGAGGCTTAAAAGTGATTCAATAAAAAATCTTATCCAATTCGTATCTATAAACCTTTTACCGGTGTGCGTATCATCACTCTACAACAGTTACAAACATTTTCGAACCGTTACGGTTCTTCTTCAGGTAACAATCCCCTAACAGAATGCGGTTCAAAGTTGTTACGAAATACGATCCGGAACGATGTCCTGACCAGATGACATCACTACGGATGTTTATAGATACGAGTTGGATTACAGTAATATTGTGCAGATATTCCATCATTTTTAAAAAATCTTATGTTTTCCATTTTATCCAAGCTTTCAGTTTTCTGAGATAGCATCAGTCAACATTATCTCAGATAATTGGGGTTCTACTGTCTTATCAATTCATGCACAAAACCAATACAAAACTATTACAATATATTGGAATATAATAGTTTTGAGAATAAAAATATATATTGTAGTTACAGTTTAATATATCTCACATCAAATTAAATGATTAAAATTAAGAGAAACAAATCATTTTGTAGTACATGCTATTATTTTAAACTTTGTTTAAAAATTTTTTCAGTTGTGTTTGTTTTATGACAGTTCCTTTCTTCTTTGCTACAATGTTCTACAGTCCATATCAGCCATTTATTCATTACTGTCAAGATTAAAAGTACTAAAGTATTTATGTGCTCACTACATTGAATTACAGGTTTGCTTTGGATAATGTGGAATCAGAGTGTTATTGTACAAGTATTGCATAATTAATTCTCAAATACTTTGTACCATATGAAATAAACACAAACCAAAATTACAAACTCTTAAAACTGTTCATAAATGCTAAGCTATTTTTGTTTTTATAGGAATTATTATCCATTTGTATATTATGCCTTTTTCCACTTTGAACTTTCTTTTGAATTAGGACATTTTATACCAAGGGAAGAGCTCTTTCTTTGGCTTGCTTGTCCTTACTTCCCTCAGAATGTAGGCTTTTTTTTAACTTCTTACATACAGATGAAGACATGTAAGCCAAAGAACTGAGAAGACTTAGTTTTAATTTGAAATTGTGTGATCCTCTTCCCTGAGTATAATAAGTGCTAGTTCACAAGAAAGTCCAAAGTGGACAAAGGTATAATATATAACTAAGGACAAGAAGCATGTATCAAAAAATATTATTGATTTGTATCAATATAATTTTACAATTATCACATAATATATAAGTTATAATGTCACTTTTTGTATTGAATATTAAATCACTAATTGCTACTATATCAGTGTGTTTTGCAGTTTAGTAAAACATTTGAATCAACTAATAATTATTCAAGTAAGAAATAAATCAATAGTTTTCTTATTTATTATTTGAACTTCTGTTGATTTCAATGATAAATTATACATTGTTGATTTGTATTCAATACAGAAATCCATGAATGTCAACAATATATTATAAGGTAACAAGTAATAAGAACATTTAAACTTAATCTCAAGTATTTTCTATATGTAAAGTAACATTTTACTATAAATAACAATTTTCAGTGTTTTGTATATCAAGAATTTACAAATACTGAGTGTTTATTATAGTAGTCCTTTAGAATTAAATTTCTTAAAACTTTTTATATAGTTTTATTATAAAATGAAAAAAATTATTTAAACAAAATTTATTCAAGCTTGCTATTTTATCATTGATATACGAATTCTGTTAATGATTCACGAAATATATTTATTTTTTACATTAACTATATTTAAAAATTCCTATAATTTTAATAATAATCTTCCAAAATTATAGATTTGAAATGATAGAAGAAAAGAAGTCATGAAGAAAAATGTAAAAAGTTTTTATAGCAAACGGATAAAATCTGAAACTTTCTCAGATAATTCCAGGAGTTCTTTGGAGACAGATTCTGAGACTGATTCTTGGAGTGACAACTTAGATCATTATAGTTCAAGTTCAGAGACATCTGATCAGTTAAGTGATTGCGATGATGCTGGCCAACCTATGCAGTGGAAAACAGATGATGATGCTGAATTTAAAAGTGAAATAACTACTGATATAGGATGGACAGATGTTACAAAAACTAATAGAAGAAAAATTATTCTTAATAAAAAACCTAGTATAAATTCTAAACTTCCTTCTAATCCAACACCAATAGATTGCTTTAGGCTTTTTTTAACTGATGATGTGTTGAAATATATTGTAGAAGAAACAAACAAAAATGCAGATTGTATTCTGTTGAATGATGAAACTAGTCAAGAAAATGATCCATCTCAGAAACACACATCAAAAGAAGAAATAGAAATATTTATTGGTCTCCTTCTATGGATGAATTTGGTGGAATTTCCAAGTTTAGATTACTATTGGAGCAGTGATATACTATATAAAAGCAATATTTCAAATATTATGAATAAAAATAGGTTTGAGACCATATTCAGGTTTTGGCCCTTGTCAAAAAAAGAACATGAATTAGAAGATGATCACAGTTATAAAGTAAGGTATATAATAAGTATACTTGTTCAAAAGTTCAAAGAAATTAGGATACCAGGGACTGTTCTAACTATTTGTAAATATAATTTGCCAATAAGATATTCCAATCCACAGAAGAAACACATTAAAATTTTTAAATTGTGTAGTGCTGATAGTTATACTTATAACCTGATGCTCTATGAAGGAAAACAAAATTTTGATCCAACAGAAATTGTTTTGAAAATTTGTGAAGATTATTTAGATAATGGTAGGGTTCTTGCTACCGATGAATTTTTTACATCTGTATATTTAGCTGATAGTCTCTTAAAAAGAAATACTCATTTGGTTGGGACTCTTGAACCAAACAGAAAAGGAATTCCTTATGAAGTGGTTTGTAATGAGCTTAAAAGAGGGCAAATATATGGTAAAATAAATGAAAATGGTGTGATAATTGCAAAGTGGAAAGATAAGAAAGATTTCCTGATGTTATCAACATACCATAACTTAGATATTGTTAAAATAGAAAAGAGAAATAGAAATGGGGAATATGTTGTAAAACCAAAAATTGTTATGGATTATAAAGCAGGAATAGTTAAAGCAAATATATCACATCAGATACCAAGTTTTATACCCCTCTTACAAGAATTTCTTAATTGGTATCATAAAGTGGCATTGGAAGTCATTTTTGAAAGTTCAGTGATTAATGCTTATGTTATTCACAAAGAGAATAATCCTGGTTTAATAATGACCATGAAAAAATTCAAAGAACATTTGATAAAAGCAATGTTGAAAATTGATGAATATGATGAAAATAAACAAGTGAAATCTGAAAAACTTGAACACAAATTTGAAAAAACTACACTTGTGACTGCAAGTAACAGAAGAATCAGGAAACGATGTATACACTGCTATGCAAATATTAAGAGAGTTAATGGAAGTAAATATGCTGCATATGCAGCAAAAAAAGTTTCCACATTCTGTTCAATCTGTCCTGACAAACCTTTTATTTGCAAGGAATGTTTTTCGTTTCATGTAGATACATGTATGTAATTTTAAAGAAATTTCATAATTTAAGAAAACTTTAAAAATTAGAACATTTTCTCAATTATAAATGAAATTATATAATATACTAAATTTTTTTTTCAGGTTAGTTTTATAATTATTAAATGAAAGGAAGAGAAAACTTGCCAAGTCAATTAAAAAGAAAGATTTGTCTGTAATTTATGCTGAAATTTTATATTGAATTACACAAATTATTTTCTATTAAAAGCTGTGAGAATGAATGCTATTTCAAAAATGAAGATATTTTTGCCAGATATTATTTAAAAAGACTAGAAAATCAAAGGATTTGATTTAAAAAAAATCATGTTTTCCAGGAGTATTTGGCATTAATGTTCCAGAAATGATTCAGGAGTTTGTAAGATTGAATATCATGAAGATATAAGGATTGGAAGTTTAATAGTGGCAACTCTGAAATTACAATATGTACAAAAAACATACATGTTTCAGATTTTCACTGCCCTACAGAATAGTCACTAGCAATGTGGAAGGTGCCAGATGCCATCAGCAGAACCTGTTTGGTTGATTGCCTGAATAGAGTGGTCTACTGCCTGAAGAATATCTGGAATAGTTCTGAACCATCCACTGCACAGATGGTTCAGAACTATTCCATCTAGGGATCAAGTCAAAGACACATGGTCTTAATTCTGGAGAATACAGTGGATTGTAGAGAACTTCCCAGCCCCAGTGACTTAACAATGTGATCACACATTGTGCAACATGCACTTGAGCATTATCATTCAAGATGATGGGTGGGTTCTGCAGAAAGTGTTTCTGCTTTACTCTCAAAGCTGGTCGTACATTGTTCTGAAAATGTAGACTGCTGTATGTTTACAGTCTGGCCTGGAGTTTGGCATTCACTTGTTGTTTACTTGCATAGAGACAACCCAAATGAGGCTTGTTTCTTGTTTTTGCATCCTGCAATAAAGGCTTTTACCCATCTTGCAATTGTTCTATGTGATAATGCAGATTTCCCACAAGCCTCTAAGAATCCTTGGCAACAGTCATGCAGTATGACCTCTGGCACTTTCAATCTTTGTCCAACTTTGCTGCTCCAATTTTGAGAACATCATGATTAGACCAAGTGGTAGCAACAGGTCTTACTCTTGTCACTTCACAGGCACATGGAGTTGGATGGTAAAGTCCATTTGCTCTCATGTAAGGTAGGTAAGTAATCAACATCTGATGTAGGTGGCATTAGCTGTGCATTGAGTTTGGTTTCTATAGCACTGTTGCCACTATTAAATTTCCAACCCAGATATTTCATTCTGATGTGATTTTTCTACAAAACTTGTTGTTTGTACTTTCAGAATGTAATTCTTTTTTCATAAGGAAAAAATTTCAGTTATACTTTTGGCATATTGGAAATTTCAAGAAGTGAGCAGTTATGAACATTTATCTATATTTTTGCTCTTTGTGTTGTAATTTGAAAAATATAAATTTCATTACTAATACATATTAATGTAAAAAAAGGGTAAAAAATTGACGTAATTTTTTAAATGCAAAATTATGAGAAACCAATTGAAATTGTCCAGTTATCTAAGAAATATTTGAGTGTTTACCCTTTGTATTCCAGTACTAGTGCCTTAATGAATTGAAATATTCCATGGAAAATTGAAATATATGTAATTTGATATCGTTAATGATATTAAAATGATCATTCATATAAGTGTAAAATATAAGTAAAGACTTAAAATAGAGATCTGTAAATAGAAAAATCTTGCAGAAATTTTGTATGAATTTATTTTGTCATTTGTAAGTTCTTTCTCCAATAAAATAATAATTATATAATGGATGCTCATAAATGTAAAATTAATTTGATTATATAACNATAAGACCGGATATCAGCTAACGGGGATTTCAACCGAACAGTAATGCACCCCAACAACTTGTATGGGACTGAAATTAACCCCGGATAACATACTTAAACACGATATACACATCCATTTTATTAATTTAATTAAGCTATGTATTAATACTAAATTAAAAATAAATATTACTACCAATTTGCAGCTAGTACAAAATCAACCGGTACCGGGAGATAGGTTGCGACGTCAATGGAATCATGCTCGACGTTCCAAACGCTATTGTCAAACTTCTAGGCTTACAGGATGGCGGCACTCAACGTTCGACGTTCACGTTTTAGAGATAAAAACTTCGGCCGCAACCTCTCCAATATCGTGAGAACAGTTCTGGACGACAACAGGTAGAAATGTCCTCTAGTTCTCTAGTCAGAGAAATATTAGTCCCAGAAAATACATTCGAAATTTCTAATACCCAGCAGAAAGGTAGAATCTCCTTGTCAATTTCACTTATCTAATCCTCAATAGCGATTCTTTGTCTTCCTCTTCCACGTGTCCGTTATGGCTCATAATGGATGCTCATAAATGTAAAATTAATTTGATTATATAACAATAAATGAAAATTACAATTTTACTACATTTTGTATTTTATATTTGTTTATTATTTACAGTTTATTTATGGAACATAAACAAACTAAATCACTTCTTAGAATGTAATTATAAATACTTTAATTAGTTCGGGTTCATACAGCGAACCACTAAGATTTTTCCTACTGATCGAGATCGCTTGTTTAGCAAGCAACCTGTTCTTTGATGATTCAATAGTTAAGTAGCTGGAGTTAAGATGTTGCTGTTTGTGACGAGATAGCAAATCATTGCGGGGTATGATTTCATAGCTTGAGCGGGTGCTTAAGTGTATCTGAGTGTTTTTAATTCCACGTGATTCAAGATTCAGCGAATAAAGTACCATGCTTTTCGTTTTTTTTTTTCTAAAATTTAAAATTTTTTATTATTTAAGTTATTTCGATAAATATAAAATGACTGATATCATTATCCTGTTNCTAAGACCGTAACGCTACGCATTTTTCTTCGACGACCTTCGATGGACCACGGAATTCTCTTCTTAAAAGAGGAAACTCACGTCCAACTTGACTCATCTCTCGTTCAAAAGGTTCTCCTCGAGCAGGTAACAAAACAGGTAAAAAAAGGTTTTTTTACCTGTTTCCAGCCAAGAGTGACTGGTCCTTTTACCTGTTTCCCGGTGCTACTACAAAACTCGTCCTTCACAATCGGACAGTAAAAGGGGATTCAACCCCAGAATTGTACTTACACAAAGAAACAGAAACAGACTATCCATTCCAAGACCAAAAGTACAGGGGTAGATAAAAAGGAAACATGTATAAAAAATATATATACCTTTTGTTGTTATCGAAACCGTGTTGTTGTTTATGTATTGTATACTGGCACGTCTAACCAACACTTAGCATCTTTATTTAGTTAGTATGCAATATATATACCTGGCGTACTACCACAAGAAGCACGCACGCACGCACACACATCAATGAAACTTTTTGTCGTTTTTTAGACTTTTTTTGAGTTCAGGAGGTCTCAAAACATGATTTGCAAAAAGTCGGAGGATCAAATTTGACACGATTCACGATTGTCCCTTGTTATGTATTTATGTATACAAATATCCAGGACACTACAAGTTCATTGTACTGTAAATACAAAAATACTATATCCAAACGGCATCTTCGCTTGGCCTTTTTTATACCAGGACTCAGAAGATGCCGTTTGGATAGTCTATGTGTTTTCAATGAACTTAAATGTTCTAGATTTTTATATGTAGTATGTATTTTTATTAATTCAAAATCTTCACGCATTGTCGTGAACGGATTCGATACACTTTGGGGTATATATTTTTATTAATTTTAAATATTTCGTGTAAAATAGGCGAATAGATTCGATACACTAAATCAATAAAAATATATAATCTACTACCTACTGTGTATGGCTTATATATCCATTGATATATACTCAATATCTCGTTTTTGGAATGGCTACCCAAATTATGAATGATATCCTTATTAAATTATTTTTTAAGTTGCTATACTATACGCGTCAACATAACAAGTAAGTATAATGAGTGATGTTTTTGTAACAATATATTTTTGATGTTAAAATCAATTCAACATTTCATTAAGTAATGATATTTATTAATTATTTATTTCAATTAATGATTTGTTTGGAAAATTTTATGAAACGAGCAAGATAAATATAACTTTACAGAATCCTATCGTATACACAGCAATGAATTTTATAAATTACCTTAATTTATGAAAATATTTTAAAAGAAAAGAAAAGAAAAGAAAGAAAATGGTCAACTCTGTTAGTACACGTATGTTGAATTCAGTAAAGAATTCAATGTATTTCGTTTTGTTTTATGTTTATGGGTAGAGAGGATGAACAGGAGATAGTGTATTGACTAAGTACGCAAGTCGAATTTTTTGCTTTTTTGACTTTAGAGAGAAATTCGGTATCTTTTTACAATTCTTTTCATCCTTATTTGTACTTTTCGAGTGGAATTTCTTACTACATGGATTGAAAGAATATCTTTATCAAAGAAGTTAAAACCTCTTCCGCTCAGTCAAGCAGTAAAATGAATTCCTTTTTATTTTATATGTAGTGAGAAGTGATAAATATGTTTCTGTAAAAATTAGCTAATTTAATTTAAATATTAAACACGAACAAAGTTTTAAAGTATAATTCAATTTAATATTAATGTATAATAAGCAATTACTGAAGAAATAACTATAGAAAAGTTTTTAAGTTTTACTGTAAAAATCAAGTGAATTTCTTTAAAACTACGATATCAAATATTGAATAGTTTAATGCTCTTTTCAGATACAAAAACTTCTAACATTTTTAGATACCCGCATTTCCCTAAAATCGTAAATTCAAAAATTATTACTTTTGTTTGACATAAAACTTTGCTTAANATAATATATGTTTGAGGATTATAGAATGCAACCTTTGAGATTTATTACAATGTATGCTAAATAATATCACAATAAAATTAGATGGCACCGTAAAAAATTAATGTATTTCCTTATTCAACGAGATGGAAAGAGGATGCAGAAAGAGTATATGCACAGAAAGCGTAATTTCTAGGAGAAATTATTTCATTTATGGCCATTATAAAATAAATGAAAAAATATGCTTATGTTTTGGAATATTTGATAGAAACAGTATTATTATAGATTTGATATTATTTATTTTTACATTATTCTTAGAAACATACAGAACGGTGCCCATAGATCAGGCAGAGAGGCAACTGCCCCAGGCGCCAAATCTGAAAAGCTACTAAAATGGCATCATAATATTTATAGAAATATTCTATTGTATATTGGTGCTGTTCTTAGGCTTGCCTTAGACGCGAAAATTATTCGGAACGGCCCGGAAAACACACCATAAATCATAGATAAGGTTTCGATTGATTGATTAAATAGTGCATGTGAGGTATCGGTATATTCCGGTTAAATGACAACCGTAATTATTTCCATTGAGAGACGGAATTGGGCAGAATGGTGATAATTAGATGAAGTAGTAAAACAAAATAATAGTGAATTTTAAAAAAGTTATATAATTTCACGTGCATAAACACAGTTTATTTAAAATCGTAACCATAATTACATTTTTTAATATTGTGGATGTAGAACCATAAGCGACTAACTCAAAATTTAAAAATTTTTCAATAATTGAGGACCATATTCCAAATGATTAGTCTACGTAATATGGCAAATTTTCAAATCCCGTTTTCTGAAAATTAGTTTCAAAGTTAGCCGCTTAAGGATCTATATCCCATAATATTTATTACGGTAATAATAATCTTACAGCATAAAAAAGACGTATAGAGATTATGGGAAGGGAGAATTCGTTTGTATCTGACGATTGGTAAAGGAGGGTGAGTCTTTGATGACTTAAGATTACACCCATCGTTTATTTTTTCTCAAGTCATCATAAAATTTCCCGAAAATAATTTCAGTGTATTTGCAAATGGTTTAAACTTTGGTCTGATGATATAATTAGAGATTGGAATACCTTGATTTTTGATTACTTGTGATAATGAGGGAAGGGGAATCAAAAAATGGCCAATTTTTGCTGATATACTTAAACGATTGTTTGTTAAGTTAACTGTCAAGTTATGGTAACGCAACACTTGGGCGATCTGTCTAGGGGGATGCCTTCCGGTAGGTCTTTTTAAGTGAAACTGGCCTCTGCGTAGGCGTTACAGACGTGGAGAAAAGCTGGAAAACTCCACGTGACCAGCCCGTCCGAGCGAGGCGTTAACCCACGACCGAACTCCCAGTGTTAAGGTACGAAGACCGCTTGGCCACTGGTGGGCCTATACTTGGATGACCTTTACAAATGATAGAACTAGACCTACTTTTTGTTTATTTGGAATATAAAAAATGTTTGTGGTCTGCTCAATCGTAAATTTCGGGTATCACTGATCTATGTTTATGTTATGGATGTTCAATGAACAACATATAATCAATGGAGCGATATAAAAAAGGATCTATAACTTAATGCTAATCGATAGAAAGGGGTATATAGACATGATTATGATCTAGTTATTCTGGAGGGAACTTTAAACCTAAGAGAGTAATTGTATATTCTGTCACTAAAATATTTATAGATTAAAATTCGGTCGAAATACTTAAATCTTTCTTTGAAATTAGGTAGTCCCAGTCTAATTCTTACGACATCGGTATTATTAGTGTAGGGAAGATTACAAAATTTGTTTAAAAGAAATACAGTATACTTTTAGTATTTCCTTAGTAATTTTGTTTAATAAAGGGGTTGGCATTACCCAGATTGATAAGCAGTAATCTATTAAAAACTGGAAATTTGTAAA